AAGAGAAAGGATGGGGCTGTTTAGGTGGGAAATTCAATTAGAGGGATGTTTTGGGTATTTTACTAGAGATTATATGCTTTAAGTAGTTTTATAAAATCTGGGGTTAGGTGAGGATATATTTTTGTTGAATTGAGTTTTTCTAAGGAGAGAAAGGGAGTCTAATGGACAACTATGGTTTGGGAGAGACGGATCTCCCTCTCCAATTGAAGATCCTTTGTATCTTATTTGTTTTCTTTGCTCAGGACGATATTTTCTACAGTGAAAATCGGCCTGGACGATGTAAAATCGGCCTGGACGATCCTGAGAGGAAAAGTCCAAATCAGAGAGGAACAGTAAGGGAACAAGGTCTCACAGGTTCTTCCACATAGTTCTTCTCATTTACTATTTTAGCCTTTGCTGAATTTAATTTCAGCCCAAGGTTTCTTCTACTTTTAGAAGTATTTTCTATCACAAGTGCACGACTGTGCTAGGTCACCTTTTATCGTAACTTCTCTTCCTTGGCTAGAAATTTAAAAGTGATGTGGTATGTGCATACCACAGCTCTGAAGGTATTCAGCAGTGGCCCGCTGAATATAGCATTATGGCTAACTAGAGCATCTACAATGATGAAGTCTATCATAACTAAGTACTGACGGTTTCCCCTTCACCCAAAGTGATATGTAGGGCGATTACTCCTTCAATCTACCAGCTCTTGTCAGAGAATCCATAGAGAGAACTAGCATTAGGAGTGAGATGGGAGGCAAGAATATTCATCTTGCCGAAAGTTATCTTGATATTCATTGAACTCTTTGTTTCTATCAAAATATTGCCAATTTGATAATTGACGATCAGGGCTATAATGGCAATGGCCTCGTTATACGATTTCCCCTAGTTGGTTCATCTTTTCCACTAAAGGTGATGGATGTGTCTTGGATGAATCATTAGAACGATACAGAATTGACTTCTTTAGTTCGTGGCTTTTTTGCAAGTGCATGAATGTCTCTTCGATCACCACTTGGAGGCAAGCAAGGTTGGCAGCTGGATTTGAAGCATGTGCTCCTTCTGGCAGCTCGCAATGAGTATTGAGGTCGGCTAGTCCTTCAAGCATGTTGATGGTTTGTGGTTTATCACTAGCGGCAGCGAGAGCATCCTGAATATACTTCAGAAGCCACTCTTCCATTTCTTACAGTTCACAGCGAGTGGTTATTATGGGTTCATTGTGTTCACCAAGGTCTTAGGTCGCCTAGCAAATGAAGATTTTTGTCGGATCCATGCTCATCGCACCTGAGAGGATGTTGGATCATGTTTTGTTTAGTTAATGATGTCAGGCCATCCTTCGTGTCACCTATGGACTGAGAACTTGTAGGTGAAGATGATGAAGTCAAATTACTGGAGAAAGAGTGAGAGAATAAGAGAGAGAATATATATGTAGATAAAATCTTTATTATCCTAGTCAAATATACAAGAGTAGTAGAAGCGAGGGCTCTATACTAAAGAGCTTAACCTAAGAAAAGGAAAAATTACTATCTTTTTTCATAAGAAGGGAAAAATGTCTCTCTCTTTAGATCATTCTTCCTTCCTCCCCCACTTTATAGGTCTTAGAGAGTTACAATAGATCTGTATGAGATATAGCAGCTGTCCCATCCATCTTTGATGTAGCTCAGCCATATGTGCAGAGTGAAGTAACAATCACCGTGAGAGAGAATGCGAGTAGAATGAACTCGCAAATCGAGCCGGCATCGGCAGGAAGAAAGTCTAAGGTCGTCTCGCTGAGGTGAGAGGGGAGAGTAGCATCTGATTATAATCAAGAGATAGGGCCGAAGTATAGCAATAAACCGACCTGAGGTCACCCCGTTGAGGTGAGAGGGGTCGAATAACATCTTGATGTGGTCCAAAGGTAGATCGGATTGTGATAGATATCTTGCGGGGAAGATATATGTTGTTAGCTTAATTGTTGATGTGTCTCGCATGGAAGACTTGACTTTGGCTAGGATCGACAAAGATTTGTCTAACTAAAAGAGGAACTTTTGAGGTTCCCCTCGCCCGAGAGGGCGACTGCTTGGAAGATGTGGTCAAAGTTGGTCTGTTGTGCTCCAGTGTTAAGCTCTTTCCCAGCTCCTAAGCGAGCCCCTCGAACGGGCTATTCCAAGAGAGAAGATAGTTCTCCTTCTGCTCGACCTGAACGCAACCTGCAAGAAACCTGCAAACGGGTGCCTGTACAGGTAGTCATATATGTATATTAGTAGTCCTCTTATTAGATCTAAGATCTTAGACTAATGTTGACTCCAATCGCCTCATAAGCCCTCACATTTTGAGTATTTCCTTCAGCCTATGTTGTTAGAATATACACCCCAATTTTTTAAATTAAATTGATCAAGTCAAATAAAAATCTAATTTTAAAATATAAAGCTCAATATGGGATAATTTGAATACCTCTAAATTTCTCAAAATCTAATTTGAGATTACCTAACATTTCAATATAACAATTTGAGTTTTCATAATAAACTCAATGAATAATTATAGTTTATATTATAGAAAATAAACATGCATATAAATAGTTAGGTTCATTTGTCAAATTTTTCATTTAACATGCATATAATTTTTAACATAAATATAGATCAAAATTCTATTCTTTTAAACAATCTTTATTTATTTTTCCATTCATTTATTAAGGAAGCACCATCAATCTTATACCAATGAAGGTACAATCATTTTCCTTTTCATTTTATGTGCACGAGTACGTTAAGTCCCTAGTCAGTATCATAAGAGAGTGAACTTTTGTATTTACATGCATATACCTTTTTACTTTTAATATTTCTATTTACATATTACAATTCCTTTTTTTATTCATTTCATTTCTGTAACATGTACTTATTAATCTGTGTAATTATTTTTCGCACATATATTGTAAGCTTTGATTGCTTAGTCCTACTCAATTTTATGAATATCAGACAATTAAACATTAACAAATATATGTGCATGATATAATATTCAATAATTGAAATGAATTAAAAGAAAATTAAATTAATATAAAACAATGTCATCACCCACTTTATTTCTCTTTCGTGTGTTGGCACTCATTCAAATTCTAAACATTCCTTAATACAATCTAAAGTCACATACACAATTATATAAATTAGTAGTGTTATCTTATAACTAAGCTTTCATTAATTTCAAATAAATTTTCTATTATGTATGTAGTATTACCTAGACTTCCCTTGAAATCTCTTATTGGCTTAGTACTTTACCTCAGTTCCACGATTTAAATCTTTCCTTATTCCAAGTATTATTCAATTGCATTAATTATTGTTAAATGACTTTCTAAAACTAAATGTTGTCAAGTTAACTTTGAATTGATTTTTTATCAAACTTCAAAAGCGTCAGACGTCATCTATATAACATTTAATGCTTCTAATTTATCATAACATAATAACAATTCATCATCTACTTTAAATCTCTAGAAATAATTGAAAGTCAAATATTCTTAAATCAAAATTAATTACATTGATTAATCTTCCTTTCCTTCTTTGTCGGATCGAGATAAGACTTTCACCCACAAGATTTCTTCCTAGTGAACAATCACTAACTATAATTTCAATTAGAATAATATATTTATACTTTTTTTCTTTTTCTGAATTTGAATAGAAAATAAGAAAATTAAATCACTTACACTTTCTCTATCGTCGGAGAAAAAACTCTTAAACCCTTCTTCTTCCTCTCGACAAACACCAATCATTCAACAACTTCAACAGAAAATTTCTCATTCTCCAAACTTTCTCTCGCACGCACAAATTTCTCTCTCTCTCTCTCCCAATTTCTTCTCTTCTTCACAAGCACTATTCCCTACTTGATCACAGCCTCTTTCATTCGTATAGTTCCACTAGAGTGAGTGAAATGACTCATCACTTGTAGGAGTCGTGTAGGTTCGCTCACAATCGCTCCCAAACCCGTACTTGCCTGTGTCACTGCCTCCCGTTTCGCTCGATCGACTTCTCTCGCTCCTGTGATCAAGTCCACCCACTCGGGTTCAACTGCTATTAACATATGATGGACCGGTTCAGTTGAACCGATTCATCCAGTTCTTACAAAGAGTGTAGTTAATTAGGATTTGCAGCTACCTACATTTAAGTTGCTTATAAAAACCATGTCTCCAAAACCACCAAGTAAAAGCCATCTGAGATAGCTAATGATTACATTCCAAATAGGTCCATAAACATTGTTGATTTACCATCACGTGCATTCTCTGATGTTAATTTTCCTCATTAATGATTTTCAAAGCCATCATGTTGGGGTGAGGGAATAGATAAGAGCAGAGTAAGTCATTATAAAACTAAAGCAAATCAACGTAGATCAACTAACGAGTATATACAGGATTTTCCTGTACTTGATAGTAATGTTCTAATGTTGACCATGAAAAGATTAAGATCCAACAAGAATCTCAAAACATTTAGGATAGTAAACTACCCAGCTACAAAGTATTTATGTACCTGACAAACTATTACAGAAATATTTGAAAAGGATTTGTTCGTAAGTCAGGCATAACTAATTACTATTACAAACACGGTTAAAAACAAGTGTATAATGAAAAGCCATAAGCAACGATTATGTCATTGAATGTTCATTCCAAATTTTAAAATAAAAAATATCAACACTGGTATACATATATACGGAATATTAAATGGGTACAAGTTGTTTCAATGTTTCAAACTAACTAATGACCTAAAGCTATTACAAGGTGGGAATTCAAATTCAAACAAAACTAAAAAATATTCAAATAAATTTGTAAGTTGACTACAACAGATTGGATGCTTAAATATCGAGGGTTGGGCACAAATAAAGAATGAATGTGAGGTGTGAAATATAAAATTTATATGGATTGAATTGTGAGAGATGAAATTGAGAACATAAAATTTTGGAAAATAAAATCCATTATGGACAGCTCGGAGTATAAATAGAACTTAGAAAGGATGCCTATTCATAAAATATAAATTGAAGCTAAGCAAAGAAGTAAACAGTCATACCTAAAAAAATGTTATCAAATGATAGAAGCCTGTCACGATCTTCCGCACTACCAGTAAATGAATGAACAACTCCACCAGTGAATCTATAAACCAAGAGAGAAAACCAGGGTTGTCACTTATGATCAACTATTAATGACAAACATTTTATAATAATATCAAACCTACCATGAAATTCTGCTCAAATATGGGATACATGGGAACATTAAGGCTCTGTTTGGTTTCAAGGAATTGGAAGAGAGAAAATGAAGTGGCAATGGTAAAAGGAATTGGATTGAAATTAGTTTTCAATCACTTGTTTGGTCGAAGAAGATAAATTGAATGAAAATTATTTCTGATTTTTGTTTGGTTGATGAAATACTAAATTCTGGCTTCCTGTGATGATGGAAAAGTGAGTCTAATACTTCGTTTGGCACGGCTTTCTTATTGCTTCTTAAAGTAGCTTTTTAGTATAAAAATTAAAATTTATATACTAGAAACCCACTTTAAGAAGCAATAAGAAAGCCATCCCAAACGAAGCCTAAGTGACGATCTCATAAATTTCTTCTCGTTTTTCACTAGGTTTGAGTAGGAAATTGTGGGAGGAAAAATGCATTTTTCCCGTTTCCAAGGTAAATCCAATTACATCGTAATAACGTAGGAATCAAACCCCCCCAAAAAAAAAGCAAAATGCGATTTACATTCCATCAAAATCCTTCAAACTAACCACACCCCAAGTGCTAAAGTTCATAATAGTTGCGGAAAAAAATGAAATTATATGTTTAGTGGAACATAAGTTATTTAAATCACCTCCATAAAATTGAAGCTTCTGACACAAGATATTAGAAGAACAAATTCAATAATCAAGGAGATGAGTATCATGAAACAACAAAAGGAATAAATGACCTCATCAAGAATCTTTCCTATTGCTATTTTTCTCCACATAGTATAGAGAACCCAAAATGGTGATCATAATTACTTTCCATGATGCCTAGTTAACAAACCCACATGTCATGAATTACGCTTGCTGAAAATTTTAAATTTCAACAGATTTTTCTTTCCAAAATACTTCTTTGGTTGCTCATGGGTCCGCCAGTTGGGTTTTCAGTTTTTGTATGCACTTTAAAAACAAAATTTTGTGCGGATTAAGAAGAAAATAGGGTAAACCAAAAGTATTATGGGTAGAAGTTATAAAAAAAATGAGAAAAAAAAAATACTAAAAATAGGATTATGATTGAATTTATCAGTCAATAGCACTTGAAAAAGAGGATTAAAAAAATTGGCCCGAATAAGGTTACTGATGATGACGATTATGCTTCTAGCAGTCCATAAATTGAATTTCTACGGCTTCATCTTACTTCAAACAGTTGGACAATGAATTTGAAGTTATATATCTGTCTAATATGCGAAGTGCCATGGAAGAAATACTCAAAACATGAACAAATGTTGATTCCGGAAATTCACCTGTGTATATTTTGCTCTAAGATGTTGCAAAAATCATCAGGTGCAGCACGCATGTGCAAAAACATTGGCAACTTCAACGTTTCCGCTAATTCAAATTGTTTTGCAAAATACCTGACTCAGAAAATGAAAATTTTTATTATATCATGCAGCATTATAATCATGAAATAGTCCAATCGTATTGATTTCATGTAAACATAATATCAAATTATAAGGCAACTAATAATATCATCAAGAAATCCATGCCTCTCATGATACGTATGAAGAAAGGCCTGTTGGCCAGGCATAGCTGTATTAACCTGTAAGATTCTAAACTGAGAAGAACCTTCTAGAAACTAACATCTACCAGAAAAATCATTTTTATTATGACAGCCAAAAGAAGTTTTACAAACGAGTCATAACAGATTCTTTGAATTCCAAGTTTCATCAATTCAGAGTTTCAAATAAGCACAAAAAAAAAATGAATTGCAAAAGAAAATGCAGTCCTAAGCATATAAATTATGTGAAAGGTTAATGAAAGGAATAAGTCTGACCAAAACAAGTTTGTATGCAGTAAAAAAATATATTTATCATTATCAGCATGAAGAGAAGTTTTTAGCCAACCAATGCATTATAATTAAGAATTCTTAATGACTTCAGCTTTCCATTAAATTGAGTTGAAGAATGGTGATCATGGCATGGTGTTAAACAAGTAAAAGAATTTCATTCATGTTCCAAAGAAAAAATGCTTCACATCCCCAACAGTTCCAGACTTTCAAGTGGAAGATTTGGATTGCATGCACTCCACAAGTTAGCCATGATTGCCTTCAGGATATTATTGGTTTTTCTTTGGAACTATACTGCTCCATATAAACAAATTGGGCATGCAAGGGCAAGAAGGTGTTAGTTCTATGTGAAATCTGATTGTGTTGATTAATCAGGTTGTATTGTTGCCTCGGACCTCAGTTTAATTAGACATGCTCGCTGGAGGGTGCGGGGGGTCCTTCCCTTGCAAGCACCTGAAAATTTCTTTTTTTTTCGTACAACATCCCGGCACTGCGTACCCAAGCGTCCCAGCATTGTATCTAAGCGCCCCAACATTATATTCCCAAGAACCCCGGTGCTGCAAAGTTTGTTGGGAGAAATGACATAGAGCAAAGCGTCATAGCACTGTAGATTCGGCGCCACAGCGCTGCGGGTTTGAGCGCTGCAGCATCGTCAGATGGACCGATGACAGAGGCTTGAGTATTGCAGCAGTTTGTGGCAGATTTGACCATTTCTTTCTCATTTTTCTAAAGGATAGCGTCCCTTGGTGTTATATTACTTCATTTTTTCTTATGTTTTGTGTGTGAGAATGGTGTAAGAGAGAAGAGAAGCAAAGAGGGAGTGAGAGAGAACAGAGATCTATACTTATTTCCCAACTTTCATAGTGGATTTCTTAGTATGGTGTGGCTCCGTGATTTTTTCCCGATTTTGGGTTTTCCCACGTTAAATCCTGGTGTCCTTTTACTTTCCACTATTTTTCTTTTTTTTTTATTTGTTTTGTTGCAGTTTTTACTTCCATCCCCAACAACTGGTATAAGAGCAAGGTTGTTCAGTTAGAGTGGGAGTAATGGCTAATGTAGCAAGGTACAAGATTGAGAAACTCAATTGTTCGAACTTTGCATTCTGAAGGATGCAAATTGAAGATTTTTTGTAGAAGAAGAAGAAGTATTTACCATTTGAAGGAATCAACAAGAAGTCGGACTCTATAACTATAGAGGAGTGGGAGGTTTGTTGGTCGGACTGCACTAGGTTTGATACAACTTTCAAGTAGAGGGAAAGTTGTGTGTTGGAACTGTGAAAAGAATAGTCACTTGAAGAAGAATTATACAGTTCCAAAGAAGGTTAGTGGTGGAGGTCAAGACAAAAATCACTCTGCAAAAGAGCTTCAATTAGATTCTCTGATTTTATCTCTAGACAATTTTGAATCTTGGGTTATAGATTCAGGTGCTTCTTTTCATGCAAGTCCAAACAAGAAGGCATTTAAGAATTATACTCAAGTTGATTTGGGTAAAGTGTATATGGGAGACAACAAGCCCTGCGACATTGTTAGACTGGGAAATGTTGATATTAGAATGTTGGATGGGCCAACATAGATACTCAAGAATGCTATGTATGTTACCTATTTAAAAAGGAGTTTAATTTCTGTGAGTCAGTTTGCAAACTCAAGCAATGTGACATCATTCTTAGGAGATTCATGGAAGATGACAAAAGAGACAATGGTTATAGCCCGTGGCAATATTGAAGGTATTATATATGTTGTCAACAAGAGATCAGATTCTATTAGAGTTGATGATTCAGATGTTGATGAAGGTCTTTGGCGTCAAAGGTTTGGTCAAATGAATAAGAAAGGAATGCATTCACTTGTTACTAAAAGAAAATTTTATGGTTTAAAATCTATAAATTTAAATTTTTGTGAAGATTGTGTATATGACAAGCAACATAGGATGAGTTTTTCAAATACTGGTTCAAAGGTTAAGTCATAGAAGTTAGAGTTAGTACATACTGATGTATGGGGTCCTGCTCCAATTACTTCTATAGGTGGATCTTTCTATTTTGTTGCTTTTATTGATGATCACAGCAAAAAGGTATAGGTGCACTTTATAAAACACAAGTCAGATGTGTTTGATATTTTTAAGAAGTGAAAGGTCATGGTTGAGATTGAGACAGGTTTGAAACTCAAGTGTCTCATATTAGATAATAGAGGCAAGTATTATGATAAGAAGTTCAAAGAGTATTGTGCTTTAAATGGGATCAGGCATGAGTTCACTATTCCAAGAACATCACAGTTGAATAATGGAGTTACAAAGCGCATGAATATAACTATAATTGAGCATGCCAAGAGAAAGAGGTTGCATGCTGGTCTAACCAAATAGTTCTGGGCAGAGTCAATTTATCTGATCAATCGTGATCCTTTAGTTTCTCTGAATGAGGGGTTACCTGAGAAAGCTTGGAGTGGAAAGGATGTAGTTTATCTCACCTCAAAGTTTCTAGTTGTTCATCCTATATTCATATTGATATAGGATCTAGGAGTAAGATTGATCCAAAATCTATCAAGTATACATTTATTAGATATGACTCAAATGAATTTGATTACAAATTCTGGGATTATCATAATCAAAAATTCATCAGGGGTAGAGATGTCAAATTCAATGAAAATCAAATATACAATAATAGATATTAGACTCCTGAAGATTCTTCTAAATATGTTGAGATAAAGGATGATGAAGATCAAAAAGGTAAAGTTGATGAAGCACACAGAGTATCTCATACACCTGCTACTAAACTTAGGAGATCCAGCAGAATCTCAAGACCAGTACAAAGGTATTCTCCTTCTTTATACTATATATTACTGACAGATAGTGGTGAACCAGAGTGCTAAGATGAGGCCATTCAAGTTGATGATTCAAAGAAGTGGTAGCAAGTCATAGATGATGAGATGCATTCACTTGAGTTGAATCAAATATAGGAGTTAACAGAGCTACCAAGTGGAAAGAGAGCACTACAGAACAAGTAAGTTTACAGGCTTAAAGAAGAACCTGATAGTAGCAAGCACTACAAGACCAGACTTCTAGTTAAAGACTTTAAACATAAGGAAGAAGTGGACTTCACTGAAAGTTTATCTCCACTGGTGAAGATGACTATAAAGTTGTACTGAGCATGGTTATAATAGAGGATTTATATCTAGGACATATGGATATAAAAAATAGCATTAATTCATAGTGACCTTGATGAAGAGTTATACATGATGCAACCTCAGGGATATGTGATCACAGGTAATGAAGATCTAGTGTGTAGGCTCATAAGGAGCTTATATGGGGTGAAGCAACATCAATACAATGAATAGGAGGTTTGACAAGTTTATATCAGATAATGATTACATGAAGTGTTAGGCAGATCGGTGTTATTTTTTCAAATATTTTGATAATTGTTATATTATTCTGCTTTTGTATGTGGATGACATGTTGGTTGCAGGGTCGGATATGGAGAAGATAAGATATCTGAAGGAATTGTTATCAAAGGAGTTTGAAATGAAAGTTCTGGGTCCAGCAAAGAAAATTTTCAGTATGAAAATCATTAGGGATAGAAGTGCAGATATACTGCTCGGGCAGAATATGTTGAAAAGGCTCTTCAAAAATTTAGCATAAGAGAGGAAAAGCCAGTTTGCACTTCCTTGGATAGTCACTTTTAACTATATAAGGAACAATCGCCCAAATCTGAAGCAAAGCAAGAACTGATGGAAAGGATTTCATTGCGTTAACAGTTGAAAGTTTGATGTATGATATGATCTACACGAGATTCGATATCGCATATGCAGTGGGGGTAGTTAGCAGATTTATGAGTAAGCCATGCAAACTTCAATGGAAGGCGGTTAAGTGAATTCTCAAGTACTTGAGAGAATCACCTGATAAAGCTCTTTGCTTTGGTGGTGCGGGGATTGATCTAGAAGGACATATAGATTTTGATCTTGTTGGAGATCTTGATGGTAAGAGGAGCTTAACAAGTTATATCTTCACTTTGGGAAGACTACAGTAAGTTGGGTTTCCAAGTTACAGAAGATTGTTGAGCTCTCAACAATAGAAGTTGAGTACATGTTATTATTGAAGTTAGCAAGGAGATGGTTTGGTTGCAAAGTTTCTTGACAAAACTTGGCAAGGGACGAAGAAATGGGAAGTTGTATAGTAACAGCATGAGTGCTATTCATCTAGCCAAGAATGTTGCATTCCATGTCAGAACAAAGCTTATCCAGCTTCGGTATCATTTCATCAGGTCGCTTCTGGAAGATGGTCAATTATCTTTGGAGAAGTTACACACGACCCAGAATCCTACAGACATGCTAACGAAGACGATAACAATTAATAAACTGAAGCTATGAGTAGTTTCAATTGGTCTTCATAAAGGATTAGAGCAGGTGTGAGCCACACTACAGGTACTATAATTAGTGTAATAGATTGGAAGAAGAATTAATTACAATCAATTTTCAAATGGGAGATTGTTAGTTCTGTGTGGAATCTGATTATGTTGATCAATCAGGTTGTATTGTTTCCTCGGACCTCAATTCAAAATGTTGTGCTCGCTGGAGGGACGATACATCCCCTGCTTGGGTTCAGGTCCTTTGCACCCGAAAAATTATTTTTTTGTTTAACGCCCAGGCACTGTGTACTCGAGCTCCAGGCACTGTGTACTCGAGCCCCCTGATGATGTGTTCTCAAGTGCCTCACTAATGCAAAGTTTATTGGGAGAAACGACATAGAGCAAAGTGCCACAACGCTATAGATTGGACACGCAGCGCTGTATGATGCCGCAGCGCGGCAGGTTTGAATGTCGCAACATCATCAAATGGACAGATAATAGAGGCTTGAGCGCCACAGCACTCCAAACTAGCACCGCAGCGCTTCGAGGCAAACTGGACAATTTCCTCTCTCTCGTTTTTTTAAGGGTGGCATCCCTTGGTGTTACATTACTTCACTTTCTCTTGTGTTTTGTGTGTGAGAATGATGTAAGAGAGAAGCGAAACAAGAAGGAAGTGAGAGAGAAGAGATATCTATACTTATTTCTCATAATTTTTATAGTAGATTTCTTAGTTTGGTGTGGCTCCATGATTTTTTCCCAATTTTGAATTTTTCACATTAATCCTGTTCTCCTTTTACTTTTCGTTGGTTTTTCTATTTTTCTTATTTGTTTTTTTACAGTGTTTACTTCCATCCCCAACAACAAATATTACATAAGAACGTAAAAGACACCTAAGTGTGACACAAATGCAAATATGGCATAGCAAATTTTTTACTTCACCATACTTCTTCTGTATTTCAGAGGGACAAAAACGTAATCTATCATAGTCCAAGCCGCATTCACCGACTGCAACCACCTATAATAACAGTAGAGGTCAGCACAAATGTGATTTGCAAACCATTGCCAAATCTTGTAAATATATTTTTCAAGGAAAATTAAAAAATGATTAACTGCTGCAAATGAAATAACAAACAATAGCTTCCCGTGATGCAGCTTGAGAAGTAATGGTTAGTAAACTACAAATTTCATGGTTAAAAAATAAGTTTGCTGGTCAGACAATAATTTGCTAATGGCACGGTATTGGCCAACTAGTCAAGTGTATTTAATTAAAATCAATGAAGTTATTTTTATTAAGTTTGACTGCTGTATTTAGGTTGCTACCATAATGCCAACTTGACCTCTTCATGTTAAAAGTTGACCCCAGAATCTCAAAAACTTTTGCAGATAATTTTCTAACTGACGAACTGTACACCATATGAATGTAATAGATAGAAGACAAAAAGCCTAACTTAATCTAAGAACATGTGGCTTGTAAATTCAGTGCCACATCCTATAAATTTTCCGATGGCTGATGGCTTGGAAATTGAACTACATTTATTATATTTTTAACCCCGTTATTGTTGTAACACAAATAATAATATTAAAGGTGAGCCAACAGAACTATCAACAAAATACATATGATGGAACCCCGCTAAGCTGAAAACTTTTCATTAATGCATGCTCTACTTAAAAGTTTTACAAGACTGATAAACCCAACGGAATGTCTGCTTTATTTCTTTTTCAAAATGGCAAGTTTTGATAGTGAGATCACTATGTCTATAAGAAGCACTAGGGAGTGCACAACATACTTTTCTTTTCCATTTTCTCGTCTCATGCGGTCTACGAAGCTTTTCAATAAATTATCTTCTACTGGCTAAACAGTATTTTACGAATATCTGCGAGTCTAACCTCCTTAAAATTTCATAACAAAATATGCCAATGGAAAACTTCATTCACTAACACATTTTCTTCCATTTTAATGCTGAAGCACTCAACTTTTTGTATAAGAAATAGCTTTTTCAAACAGAGTTGACAAACAATTCCTCTAAAAGTTTTCAATGATAGATGCCAATCTATCCAATGCATGCCATTGAAGAGATACCAAACCAACAAGGTTTAACAGCACAAAGAAGTGTGAAACAACACTGTCCAAGGCCATGTGTTTTGATCAAGTTCCTAATCATGGCATTCTATATTTCTATGGTAGTACTGGAATCAAACGAAATAAATAAAAGCTGTCTTTGAAGTGATCAATCAGCTTAAGCGCCAGGAAACTCATTCACTTGCAGGAGAGAATCATTCAAAGGAAAGTTTCCTACCTTCCCCTTTGCAATCCCCTCCTTGGCTAATGAAACTAGCTCCTGAAAGTACTTATCAGGGTCACCACTCTTTTCAAACTCCTTAAAGCAACAAAGTCAATCAACATCAAACCTCACCACCATAATTCAACTAAATGAAACAGATTATCAGCTTAATGAACATAAAATGGCCTACTTTGCATCTCGTTGGATGCACACCCACAGTGCAGAAGAGCCGTCCTGCACTAGACAAACAAAACTAAGAGCAGCATAAATCTTATTTCATGCATAACATCAAACAGTTGGATGGCGACCACCGCACCGTCAGTTTCCGCGATAGTAAGCGCCTCACGCGATTCCTCCAGCGTTGTTCCCGTGACCTTTCATCAATCCCAAACAAACCCTGAGTTAATCAGACGTGATTATAACAGTAGATCAGATTGTAAAGAGGAAAAGGTAAGAAGCTCACGATGATACGGTCAACGCCGGCATTCCACGCCCGCGCGAGCACAGCTTGGATGTCGCAGGCATGGTATTGCTTTCTGTTGTAAATCCCCTTAAACATCCCATCTGCAATTTTCTAATTGCCATTATGTGTAATGCCTGATTAACCAGCTCTGTTTCTCTATGATTCGAGAAATAGCTCACCTGTGAGGTTCGCACCAATGTCTGAACAACCGCGATTGGATTGGAAACAGGAGAAAGATTAGTAAGGGGAAAAAAAAAAGGTGAGGCCTTTGGAAGGGAGTGAGTTGGGGGGTACTTGCCAATCATTCTGATGGCCGCCATCACCGTACCCAAGCAAGCAATTGAAGAATGTTCCGATAGAGGTTTTCCGAAGGCCAATGGAGACTTGAATAGTATTTGGGGAGAAGCAGTCCACCTTAGCGCGGATTGGGAGCTTCGTCTTCCACGTGCGGCTTCGTTTGGAACAGCTTCAAATTTGATCAAAGTTTTGTTTTAAAAAAATGTTTTTAGGGACGTTGGCCGGCTGGTTTGCTATTTGTTCTCTTATTTTTTTTGTGTTGTTTTGGCAGTTTGTCTTCTTTAATTAACGGTTCGCGGTTGTTGAAGGCTAGGATGGGAGCTGAATTTGGACCGTTTATTCAAGCTTAGGTGGAGATTGAAGCTTGAATTTCTTCAAGGCTTAATGGTTCTTTTTGGCTGTCTAATTATTTGTATGGTTGGATGTTCAAATAGGGTTTTATTTTGGAACAATTATTAGGTCCTCCGACCGGACCGTAGAGAAACGTCCGGTCGGAGGTAAAATCCCGTCAAAAAACGAGTTGTACTGAGCAATATCAAACAATAACGAGGAATACCATCATTTGAAGACCCAATACCGAGTTATACCGAGCTATACCGAGCAATACCGAGTTATACAAAAGTTGTACCGAGTTTTTCCTAGAAAAAACTCAGTACAACTCGGTATTTCTCGGTACAGCTCGGTATAACTCGGTATTGGTTTTCAGAGAGCAGTATTCCTCGTTATTATCAAAAAATACCTAGTTGTACCAAGCAAATACCGAGTTTTTTGGAGGAATTTTACCTCCAACCGGACGTTCCTCTACGTCCTTACACCGGACGTAATAAAAGTTTGTTATTTTGGCCTATGGCTCCTTCTTTGAGGTTGTACTTTTGCTCATTATTTTTGAGGTTTGTTATTAGAAGATTTTTGTATTTCTTTTGCTTTCAAACATGATAGAGTAAATTTTTCTTTTTATCAACAATTGTAAGTTTTTTTTTTTTTCTTATATTTGTTGTAATATTGTAATCATTTTATCATTTTAATAGAAATCAAGCATGATTGCCTCTAAATTTTCCAAAAAAAAAAAAAAAAGTTCCGAAAAAACGGACAAAATGTTTGCAAAAAAATTTATGCTAAAATGGCAAGGTGGAAAGAATAGTGTTGCATTGCCCTCTTAATTTTAAAGACAAAATTAATATTTTAATAGCTAAATTATCATAAAAAAATTGGGTGCATAATCACATAAAAGAATAAAACTATTAAACTTCATATTTACTTATTTTTTTATCTTTCACTTTAGAGTATATTTGGTTGGCTGAAAAGGGAATACAGTTCTTTCATGAAAGAACATTCGCAATAGAAGAGAGATGGAGCATCCTAGCTGTATACGAATATCCAAAACACAGATAGATAAGAGAGGTGTGTAAAAGCTATAAGAGACATCAGAGTTTTACATGAAAATTTTTTAAAAATGAAAAAAAATCATGGGGCCTTACAGAGTTGAAATAATTCCACTAGTATTTCTCATTTATTACAAATGATGTCCTTCTTCGAGGAAAAGGGTTGGATCAATGTAAAAAATATATATATCACATAGAGCACATCACATGGTTAAAGTTGGAAGAATTCAGTGATAATAGATATATTCTAAAGAGAGTGATGTTTGTTTGTTTCGTCAATAGGATCGTGGTTGGCTATTGACAGAGTTCAGAGGAACTGTAGTCAGGTGATAGAGACTGGAATGAGTGTTGAAGGGATAGTAGTTGGGGTACTAGGGTCGAAGGGATCGTTGTGGGGCGAAGGAGGTCAGGGGATCGTAGTTAGCCGATTGAGGTCAATGGATCCTAGTTAGACGACGGTGATCGGAGGGATCATAATCAGTGGATGATTAAGGTCTATGTGATGCCCCAAAATCTAATTTGGATGAATTATTTTTTTATCTTTTAATAAATAACAATCAAAGATATCTAATTTTTTTATCAATATTAATAGTATAAAGTGTCAAAATGTTCTAACGGTAGACAAGAAAAATTATACTCAGCAAAAACTCACATTTTAGAATTTAACCAAATTATCATACATTACATAAAATAATATTCTGAAGCTTTAGTTGAACTAAATCTCTATTTTAAGACTTCAGAATAAAAATTTTAGGCAAAAAATGCAGTATTTTTAAAATCACTAGGTGAAAAATCTCAAATAAATATTCAAAACATTCATAATCTCAATTTATATAACATATAAAAAATTGCAAGGTGAAAATTTTACCAAAACAAAATTATTCTTATTTTTAGGTAATGAAAACACAAATTTGATCAAAAAATATCAAAAAACATAAAATCTTTGAAATCACAAATAGAGTAATGATTCCTTATAGCGAGACAAGTTTTCTAACTGACTCGATTGACAAAAATTGCTCTGCAATCTTGAAATACTAGCTTTTCTTTTCTCTCTCTCTCGTCACTTTTCTCTCTTAAATTCCCTAAAATACATTGGCCAATTTAGGAAGATTAAAATGGATTTAATAAAGTTAAATTAAGTATCTTTAGATATTTATAATAAAATATTAATATAATAATTTAATTTAATAAATTTTTCAATATAAATTTAAATAAATTCTCTTGAGATTTAAAATTTATAGAAAAATATTTATAAAATTTAGCATCCAACTCCATTTAATTTTCTCTATCAGACAAGTGACATCCCAAAATACTCTTCTGGAATCCTTATAAGGAGAATCAGACAATTGTTCACAATTTTGTTATCCCTTATTCAACTGTGGGGAAGAGTGAATTCTTGTATATTTAATTGTATAACGGAATATTTCAATTGAGCTAGGCTCGATAGCTTTTCATATTTTTTTTCCATGTAATAAATTATGGTGTCACTTGCAACTTCTATTTGTATACATGCTGGATTTTTATACAAAGTTGTAGGCTCTATATATATATATATATATGCACACAACAACAACAACAACAACATCAAGCCTTTATCCCACTACGTGGGGTCGGCTACATGAATCTTTTTTTTTCCATTGTGTCCTGTTAAAAAATATAATTTTTATTTAGAACTAATACAGAAATATCATTTCTAATATTTCTAACCAAGTCATTTTAGGTCTACCTCTACCTTTCTTAACATAAGTCAAATCTACTACCTCAACTTTCCTAACCGGGTCATGGGAAGGCCTCCGTTTAATATGACCAAACCATCTAAGGTGACTCTCTCTAATCTTATCTTTCACTGGAGCTACTCCAACCTTTTCACATAGATGTTCATTTTGTATCATATCTCTAAGGGTAAAGCAAATCATCCACATAAGCATCCTCATCTCTGCAATACATAACTTAGTATAATGCTTCTCTTTTAATGGCCAACATTGGGCACCTAAAAGCATTGCAAGTCTCACCACCATCTTATAGAATTTTCCTTTAAGTTTGAGGTGGACTATCACACAACAAGCCCGATGTGTTCCTCCACTTTAACCATCCAACTTAAATTATGCTGATAATATCCCCATTTATTTCACCATCACTCTGAATAATAGATCCAAGATATCTAAAATGTGTACTCTTATTAATGATTTGATCGCCCAAATTCAAAATTCTCTCACTAGGTCTATTGCTACTAAAATTACACTTCATATATTCAATTTTAGATCTACTAAAGCGAAAACCTTTAGACTTTAAGGTTGGCCTCCATAATTCAAGTTTACCTTCAACTCCCTCCCTAGTCTTATCAACAAGAAGAATATCATTAGCAAAAAGCATACACCAAGGTACATCCTCTTACAAATGTATAGTGAGAACATCCACGACTAAAGCAAAAATGTATGGACTTACACTACAGAAAAGTCATCTATTTTCGGTGGAATTTTCAGCAGAAAATTCTGAAGTTTCCGGTAGATATCAAAAATTTTCGACGAATTTCTGACGAAAATGTTTTCCACGGTAAATCGAGCATCGAAAAACTTTTCCATCGACAAAAATCCACTGGAACATTTTCCTGGTAGTTCTTTTCCGCGAACACAATCCAGCCTGCTCCCGCAATCCACGCCCAACCTGTTTACGCAACCCGCGTGAGCCTGCTCCCGTGCCCGCAACCCAAGCAGGTTTGCCCACTTCCGCATCATCAGACCCGCGCAAGTGAGCCTGCCTACTCCTGCGCCTGTGACCCGTGTAGGTGAGTTCGCACTCGCTCATGCGATCCGCCCGTCCGCTCCGGCGACCCACGTGTCACGACCCAACCCGATCGGGACGAATCCCGCTCGCATCAGATCGCGATGGAGCCAAATAAATCCAGGATCTGGCTTTGGAATTTGCTTCAGACTTTCTTCCAAATATTACATAGACAGAAAGACACAGAGCTACTATAATCATCCAAATGTAGAGTAATTCATCTATCTTTTCTTTCGTCAAAACAATCATATACAGATACAGTACATGGCTTACAGACAGAAAGAATAGAATAGAACAGATAAGCCATGACTGTACAAAAATCAAAAGTACAAAATACCTAATCTCAGATCAGACTCTGAACTGCTAATCCAAGACTTCCTTCCCTTTTCCCAGAACCTGAAAACCACGTAGAAAACAAGGATGAGCTAACAGCTCGGCAAGACATCAATCACCAATCAAAATAATCAGAAACTCACATCAGAAAACATCCGTACATAAATCGTAAAATAGACAGAACAGATACTTGATCAATCAAAATTTAGCTTATAGACACAGAAAACTGAAATCATTTCAAATTAGAATTCAGAATAGATATTATAAAGCTTTCATGTCATAGAGCAGACATAATCGTACAGAATAACCAGAATCGTACAAAAATCTAAAATCAGAAATCAGATAAAATCACATTCATATCAGATCATTCTTATCAGATTCATATCAGATTCAACCAAAATCGTACATAAATAAAACAGATCAGATAAGTCATAGAACAGATTATCAGATATCAAACATCAGATTCCCTGACCCAGAATCTCAACAGATTCTGACCCCTTATGCCTCCCTTCCTAGACACTGACAGAATCTCAACGGATTCTGGCCCCTTATGCCTCCCTTTGTGCTTATAGCACCAGAACAGATATTCGAAATTCCAGAACAGAACTTATTTTCAGATTTCAGAGCTCATTTCAGATTTCCCTGACACAGACAGAATCTCAAGGGATCCTGGCCCCTTATAACTCCCTTCTGATAGCATACAATTAATCAATTCATTCAATGTATCAATTCAGAACAAAAGCAGAATTCATACGAAATTTCAGCGGCAT